CGGCGCCGGGGCCGGGGAGCCACCCGCCACGCCCGCCGGGCTGGGTGCGGGAGGAGACCGCGTCTGCTTCAACTTGGGCCGCGAGCTCTATTTCTACCCGGGCTGCTGCCGCCGCGGGAGCCAACGGGTGAGCGGCCTGCATTGGGGGCCCTGGTTGCTGAGAGGATGGGGGTCCTTAGATGATCCGGGAGTGATGAGAAAGCCCCGGAATTGAAATGGGGCCCGAGATTGGCATCCTCTAGATGCGGGGCATGGGGGGCGGGGCGGGAACGGAAGAGTTCTCCTAGGAAACGCGGGGTTCTAAAAGGTGACAGGAGACCCCCTGCGGTGCTGGCGGCCTGGAGGTGATGGGAAACCTTGAGGCCATGTGAGATCCCCCAGTTATGCGTACCTGTCCTGGGGTGGTCAGTTTCTTGGAGGTGACCAGGACTCAGATCCTAGAGAATGCATCCAGGTTTGGGGCTGCAGGCTTTCTGCAGCTGATGGGGAAGTTTCAGGTGGTGCAGGCCCAGAGGTGATGGACAGCCCACACAATCTGTAGGTGTTGGGGTGTCTCCAGACTTGGTTAGCTTAGTGAGTGGGACCCTAGGGAAAACTGGGGCTCTGAAGGTAATGAAAATGACAGAGTTCATGGGAGATCTGAGGTGATGAGGGTCCAGCAGGCAATTCTCTGGGGGCACTGAGTGTCTAAAGTGATGCGGTTGCCAGAGGGAATGGGACCCCTGGAGTTAATGTTGTGATGGGGTCTCGAGAGCCTTGAGGTGATGAAGACATCTAAAATGTGGGGGTCTGTGAAGTTTAATGGATCCCTTACCTGTGATGGCCGCCTGAGATTTAGGAACTCTAAAGTGAAGGGAATGTTGGGATTGTGGGCTTTAGAGCCTTGGGGATTTGGGTGACCCTGAGATTTGGGCGGGTTCAGAATATTGTGTTGTGTGCCAGAGGAGTTGCTGAGGTTGCAAGACAGGACTGAAAAGAGCCCACAGCTGAGGGCCCTAAATGTTGATACTGTAGGCAGAGGAGTCCCAGCAACTGG